AAAAAATATTAAAGCAACAAATGAATTTCAAAGTTAACGTATTTGTGCCTTTTATAAAAGGGTTCATTTTTTCCTAGCTTCTATTTCACTAGAGAATACATTGAGCACTTGCAAGCAAAACAAGTTTGCAACAATTCTTGAATCGATTGCTACCCTCAACGCCACCAAACATCATACTCGACTCTTGCAAAATCACATCGGCCAGACTAGACTCAACATTTTGTTGTTGAGAAAAGGTCAAGGGTAGGCAGGCGAGTGCTAGTATATGGGGAAAAATCATATTATTTATTCCTGTTATTCTCGAGCTGAGATGAAAAGGACCTTTTCAGTACTTGCGAAAACATATTCCAAACGATTTCTTATTATAAAGATATCTACAATTACTATCACTACCTACAAAAGATTACCTCCTTCCTCAGCTTCCATTTCATCCTCTGCATGGTCTCCATCCTCCATTTTCACATCTTCAACTGGTTCTTGTTTGGCCTGAAATAGGGAATCAGAGATTTTACTGGAAAAGATCGAAAACAGAAGTTATCCGACCTCAGTCACATCCATTCGTTCTTCACTGTTCTTTCCTGCATTAGCTGACATTCTCTGAAATTTCCATATAAAATTAAAAAACTCAAAATGAAAGCTCTAAAAACGAGAATTCGGATTGAGCGCACAAAATGAGAATGGAGGGGACGCGACGCCAGCTGCGAAAGTCGCATCCGCGCGATTTTCCCGCGTAGGGGCGTTTTCAAAAGCGGTAGCTCAAAATATCTGCAATCGCAGAACGAAGTGCATGAACCGGATTTTGACGCCTATTTCTCACCCACCTGCCAACTGTCGCGTTCCGGTTTTTGTGGACTGCTGCCACCTTGAAACATGCTCTTTGGGGTTTTGTTTTTCAATGAATTCGACGAATTCGGGCATTTTTCGATTGCAACCCTGTGGTACAGTGAATTGCTATCTAATTTGGTCGTTCTTTTTTCAGATGGAAATTGATGATGGAGAATGTTCGTCTTCAGGTGATGAAAGACAAGAAGATTTGGAACAAAT